GAGCGTGCTGAGCGCCAGTCCTGCGGCCTGGGCAGCCTCGGCTGGAGGTGATGGACGGCGCCGCTGCCGTCCCTGGGCACGGACAGCTTCCGCGGCCGCCGCCCGTCCGGCCAGGGCAGCCCCTTGTCACGGGAATGTTAACAGAGGGGACGAGTCCTGGGCCGCGATAAACAGGACACAGAATGGAAAATGTCAAGTCCGAGTTCTGTGTGCTAGATAGTGTGCTGTGCCTGGCATTTCAGGTGCTCGGGGAGGTATGAGATGACTGTCAGAAACAAGAGTCGAACGTTCTCCACGAGGAAAAAAAGAGGTGACATCGATATTACATACCGGCAAGGCGGCGATAGTGGAGTTAATGAGCAAAAAGCCTGAATCTCCACATCATTTGAAACTACAACTTCAGCCGTATAAATACGGCATGCAAAATACAGTCCTTCTGCATGACATAATGTAGCGATACTACAGACGGACAGAGAAGCATAGGAAGTTATACAAATTCATCCTTTTCACGTAGCTAAGAACAGTAACGGTAGCCAACATTACCAAGAGGAGGAGATCAGGATGAAAGGAAGGTTTTGGCTAAGGTTTAGAACTTGCCACTAACACATTGTGATCATATACAGACAGCTACTAATTTAATCACAGCAAATCACTCACAGCTAATCTATTACCCAAAGATGAATGATACAACAATAGCAGTGAAGTTTGTTTTACTGTAGGGTGCTTAAGGAACTTGGAATAAATGTGACAGATACGGAGAAAAAGTGTGGACAGAATTAAAAAGTGATATAAGGCGGCATAAAATTAAGAGGAAAACATGAGAAAGAAAAATACCACTAAAGAAGAACAGAAAGCACAGATAAAATCTACAACTACAGGGGAAAAAAGCAATTATTGAGGTAAATTAATTAGAGCATTGAAAATATATTTATAAAGAATTAGTATCATGTACAGCAAATGGCCTGTGGCCTCTAGGCATTATTGCTATAAGTTTATCAGATAGTAGTTACAAATGTAAAGCAAGAGCTAGCTTAAATAAAGCGTGTGAAACTACTGGTAAGGGAAATACAGTAAAACAGTGAGGGGAAAAATCAAAAAGGAAAAAATATTTATCCTCCACATTTGTTATGTCATTATTTTTTGTTTGTGGAAGTAAGAATGCAACAGAACATAACCAAATACTCCATGCTTAAGAACATTATATTTTTCTATCTGCTCCCTGTTGCACACCAAACTTATCATTACCAGTGTTCCTACTCAGGAACTTTCTATGTCTGTAGCACCCCAGCTTTCAATAGCAAAGATCTGATTATGTGACTTACGTGATCAGTTTGCAAAGTACTTCCCTATATTATTAAAGACTGAATGACAAGAGAGCTCAGCCTGCTGATTTAGAGTATCTGTGAACCGTTGGAATGAGATGGGTCTAACTGAGCTGGGTCTAAATGAGCTAGGTTTAACTGAGCTCCAAAGATCAAGAGTGCCTGTCTAGAGGCGCACACTGCATTACAGAAAAGAGAAGTTCCTTTTTATGGGCTGCTCAGCCAACATGATCAAAACTTATTAGTTTGATGGCTGAACACCCCCTATTTTATCAGCAAACTTAAGTTTGTAAAGTGTTGGAGTATAGATTCTGAATCAGTACTGTTCTATTCTGGTTTAGATAAAGTAGAAAATGAGATTAAATTACGCTGTAGAGAATCATTTTATTACCCAATAGATAATCTTCCTTGTGTTTCAACAGAGCAGTAATAAATAGAGGGCCAACAGTCAAAAGGTCGAAAGTTTTCCAGCAGATTAATGTGTTAAGAAAAGTTAAATCTGATATTAAGTACTTTTAACACTTTTTGAGTGTGCTTCTGTTGCTGATAAACTCAAAACTGTCTTCAAAATGGACCAATGCCAAATTCGTGTCATTGCAGAGTTGTGCAATTTGCCATCTCTTACACGGGGTGGCACAATATAGCTGGAAATCTATCGAGTGTTCAAATATAGCCTAGAAAATAAGCAAACAAGAGGTCAGAGCCAACTACTAGGGAATGTTGAATAATTCTATTTTTAAACATCAGACAATTGCAAATATAAGCAGTTTCTCACATGAAACCTTTACCAAAGAAACAGGCTTGAAGGAACAATGCTCTGTTGCTTGAATTTTGTCCTGTATATGGGAAAAATCAACTGTTACACAATTTCAGGTCTGACATAATTCACAATTAACCTTTAAATAGAAACTAGTCATCAAAAGCAACAGAATGCAAAACATTCACCTTTTTCATGGTCTTTTCCCATTTTACTTATTAAAAAAATATTTTCTGGTAATCTAAAAAACCCAAACCCAACAACTGGATTAAAAATGCTCTCCTTTCAAGTGGTTCAAGCTCTGAAATGTTGGAATTTTAAAACACTCATTTGAAAGTCTGTCTCTGTGAGGTTGGATGTAGAGACTGCATTTGTCTAGAATTCCTTCTTGCCATTTTCCCTATACAGAAAGTATGAATACTGTTTTTTTCCAACCTTATTTTGCCCATTTTTGATGATAAGGGCTTTGAGCTGTGGCTCACCTCTGCTTTTGTAGTCCATGCACGTAATTTGGCTCCTGAGACACCTGTGATACAAAATGACAAGAGCAACACATTGTAGAGTAGCAGCTTTCAGATATGTGGACAGGAAGTACATAGTGTGTAATATTTTGCCTCACTTCTGATAGTCCTGTTGGGTACATCATCACGTCTTTAAAGACATTCTGCTTTAATCAGTTGTCATGCTACTGCAGCTAGCTGAGTTTCATAATTGCATCCTCTTTGCATAGTATGGGGTAAAATATTGATGAGAAAGTGACCCTCGCCACAGTCCTTCTGTGTCCCTGTGTACCTTCTCCTGAACCTCCCTGAGCTACTTCAGATACAACCCATGATGCTGTAGTGGACTAATTCTTCTTAAGCAGACTTGCACGTCACATCTCCTAGCACTCCTCCTTGATGTTTTGCCTTTTTCTATCTCTGAACTACCTTGTTGTTGAGAAGAAGTCATGGTCTAAGGCAGGTCTTACTGAAGATCTTGTGTTCGGAATTCAGCTAGAGAAATACAAAAATACAAAGAATGCACATTAATAACAGTCAAACCAAACGCCAGACCTTTGCCATTTCAAGGACATGGCTATTACCTACAT